TCGATCGCTCTTCCCCCAGCACTGTGTTCGATCTCTCTCCCCCAGCATTGTGTTCGATCTCTCTCCCCCAGCACTGGGCTCGATCTCTCTCCTGCACTGGACCCATTCTCCACCCTGTCCCCCGCACTGGATCCGGTCAATCCTCCCCCCCACCACACTGGACCCGATCACTTTCTCTGCACTGGGCTCGATCTTCTCCCTCCCTGCACTGGGTTCAATCTCTCTTTCCCTGCACTGGGTTCAATTTCTCTTTCCCCCTGCACTGTGTTCGATCCCTCTCCCCGCACTGGCCACGATCTCTCGATCCCTGCACCTCCACACTGCCATCTCACAGCCAAGTGTGAGATGGCTATGTTCTTCATTAGTATGGTGGTTCATTCTATTCCCAGACAATTTATTTAAGGTTGGAATATATGAACAGTCGGATCCGCTTATCCAAGAAATGATATCCTGGCCTTGGACGCCATCCAGAGAAAATTCACTCGGCTGATACCTAGTATGAAGGGTCTGCCTTATGAAGGGAGTTTCAGTAGCTTGGGCCTGTATTCATTGGAGTTTAGAAGAATGAGAGGAGATCTTATTGAAACGGACAAGATTCTGAGGGGAAATTGACAGGGAGATCTGGAGAGACTGCTTCCCCTTGTGGGAGAGTCTAGGAGCAGCGGGGCATCATCTCATAATAAGGGGTCGCCTGTTTAAGACAGAGATGAGGAGGAATTTCTTCAATCAGAGGGGAATGAATATCTGGAATTATTTACCGCAGAGGGCTGTGAGGTTGGGTCATTAAGGATATGTAAGGCTGAGACAGACAAATTTTTGAAACATATAAGATCCTGAGAGGATTTGACGGATTGGATGTGGAAAAGATGTTTCTCTTTGTGGGAGAATCTAGAATTAGGGGACATTGTTTAAATGTAAGGGGCGCTATTTAACACAGAGATGAGGAAACATTTTTCCTCTCAGACAGTTGTCAGTCGAAAGAAGTAAATGAATAATCTTTAAATATTTTTAAGACAGAGGTAAATTGATTCTTGCTGACCAAAGGGATAGAAGATGATTGGGGGATATGCAGGAATGTAGAGCTGAGGTTAAAATGAGATCAGCCATGATCTTATTGAAATGGGGGAGCAGACTTGAAGGGCCAAGTGGACTACCCCTGTTTGTTTTAAATATGTTTGTATGTTTAATCTGTAAGGGGAATCAAGGGTTATGGGGAAAAGGCAGAAAAGTAGAGTTGAGAATTATTAGAACAGCCATGATCTCAATGTATGGTGTAGCAGACTCAATGGGCTGAATAGCCTAATTCTGTCCTACATCTCATCAACCACTTTATACCTGAATAGGATGGATTATGATGTTTTGTTAATGGCGAGATTCCAGAAACAGCAGAAGGTCCAAAGAGACAATGGGGGAAGAACCAGGTACAGAGATTGTTAAAAATGTGAGGCACAATTAGCGAAAATAACTGCAAAGGTTAAAGGAAGACTTGCCTTTATACCCAGAGGAATGGAATACTGCGGGACAGGTCATGCTACAGCGAACAAAGCTGTTGTTAGACCTCACCTGGAGTCATTGGGTGCAATTTAATCTTCAGGAGGATGGTTTAGTCTTGAAGGGAATGCAGTGACAACTGGCAGAATGATAGCTGGCCTACAAGGGTTAGATTGTGAGGGGAGATCACACTAACAAGAAGCTGGACTCTATAGGTTAAGGGCTGATTTGAATGAAGTTACGGAGGAAGGGGCTGATAGAGATAAACTTTCTCCACTGGTTTGGGAGTCCCAGGACTTGAGGGAAGAGCCTGACATTTTCAGGAGCCCCTTCAGGAATGAGATGAGGAAACTGTTATGGACCAGATCAAACCCCCTCAAAATACACATAAGATAGTCTAGACCTTAAGTTTTCCTTATTTTAAAGGTAAACGTAAGGTGTTGTGCCCCAGATGCAACTCAATTGGTCAAACTCCCGCATTAAAAGCAAAACACACTTTATTCATCCACTATAGTTAAAATACAACAAAAGAAAGAAGGAATTGGAAAAGCTTAGCTCTATTGAAAAACTTAACAGAATGACAGATACAGTAACTGTTACTAATTAACTGTTCTAATTTACAAACATCCTATGAATTCCGACTTGACAAAAGGCAAATTTGGAAAACAGATTGTCTCACATGCAACTCTAGCAGCCTAAGAGGAAAAAAAAGTATCAAGAGAAAATTCTGAGAGAATGTAGCAGCTGGGAGAGATTTACTGCAGCTTCCAAACCCTGCTGAGGTCCCAGGAACAAACTCCTGGAAATGAAAAGTAAAGATTCTGGTTCTGTGAGAGTTTGGCCACACCCGGTCAGGCTGCTTCTATTGTTCCAACATTTTTTTAAAAAACCTCAAGGCTTCACACGCCTTTTACTGTAGTGGCTCTGTTAGACTGCTTGATGCCTCAGTTGTAAAACCTCTCTTCAAAATAAAAACAGGACAAAATAACTTCTTACAGCCACAGTATCATCACAAAATATTAACATACACAGAAGATGGGGGAAATTTGGAACGCCTTCCACAATCTGCAGTTGAAGCTGGATCAGTTGTAACTTTTAAGACTGAATTTGATAGATATTTTTCATTCCAACAAATTAATAAATATGAAGGACGGGTGGGTGTATGGAGTTAGGTTGAAGATCTCTTTAAATGAAAGAAAGCGTTGAATGGCCTCCTCCTGTTCCTCAGCACTGTGATACTGACCAGATAATCTGCTTAAAGTGGGACTTCATTCCCAGATTAATAAAACCCTCATGTTCAAAACCTTCAGGTGACGCAGATGAATTCAGAGAGATGTGTTGCTGAGGTAGGGCTCTCAGTGTGAGATGCATTTCAGCTCGTTTGTTGGATCCATTTCATTGTACCGCCCAGCTCTGAGAATGCTTGATGGAAGCAACACAACAGTTTGTATTGTGTGTTGCGGACTGAGCACCCAAACCCTCATCAGGATTGAGGGAGGCTTGTTCTACTCTGGGTCAATAGATTTTTTTTTACTCATTCATGGGATGGGATGTCACTTACTGGGCCCAGCATTTATTGCCAGTAATGGCCCCTTGAGAAGGTGGGGGTGAGCTGCCTTCTTGAACCACTGCAGTCCATGTGCTATGAGTTGACCCATGATGCCCTTAGGGAGGGAATTCTAGGATTTTTACCCAGCGACACTGAAGGAACGGCGATATATTTTCAAGTCAGGCTGGTGAGTGGCTTGGAGTGGAACTTGCAGGGGGTAGTGTTCCCATGTATCTGCTGCCCCTTGTCCTTCTGGATGGAAGTGGTCGTGGGTTTGGAAGGTGCTGCCTGAGGATCTTTGGTGAATTTCTACAGCGCATCTTGTAGATGGTACACACTGCTGCTACTGAGCGTCAGTGGTGGAGGGAGTGGATACTTGTGGATGTGGTGCCAATCAAGAGGCTGCTTTGTCCTGGATGGTGTCGAGCTTCCTGAGTGTTGTTGGGGCTGCATTCATCCAGGGCAAGTAGGGAGTATTCCATCACACTCCTGACTTGTGCCTTGTAGATGGTGGAGCAGGCTTTGGGGGGAGTCAGGAGGTGAGCTACTCGTTGGTGGTCACTAAACGCGTTGCAAAGTGGCTCAGTGGTTAGCACTGCTGCCTCACAGCCCAGGGATCCGGGTTTGATTCCACCCTCAGGTGACTGTCTGTGTGGAGTTTGCACATTCTCCCCGTGTCTGTGTGGGTTTCCTCCGGGTGCTCCGGTTTCCTCCCACAGTCCAAAGATGTGCAGGTTAAGGTGGATTGGCCATGGGAAATTGTCCCCTAGTGTCTAAGGATGTGCAGACTAGGTGAGTTAGGATTGCAGGGATAGGATAGGGAGCAGGGTCTGGATGGAATGTTCTTCAGAGGGTTGGTGCAGACTCGATGGGCCAAATGGACTGCTTCCACACCGTAGGGATTCTAAGTGGAGTATGGGAGGGGTGTGTAAATGATGCTGGTGTGGTTGGGTTGTTTGTTTTGGGTGGACTTCACATCCACTCCTTCCTCAGCACTTTCCTGTATCAACCTTCTCCATTTTGCTTCAGAGATAGTAAGAACTGCAGATGCTGGAGAATCTGAGATAACAAGCTGTAGAGCTGGATGAACACAGCAGGCCAAGCAGCATCAGAGGAGCAGGAAAGCTGACATTTCGAGTCTAGACCCACAAGGACCAGGGTCTCCCGTGGGTCAGCGCGGGATATTTGATCTCTTCAGGGAGGCTGTGAGGACATCCGTAAAGCGCTTCCACTGCCGTCCTGGGAGACTCCTGCCACGATTGAATTCCAGGCAGAGGAAGGGGACAGACAAAGTGTTATGAATTTGCTTTTAGTTCAGTCAGGAGATCTTGAACAAATGACAAGCGCTGGTTTTGGAATTGGGATGGAAAAATCTGGAATTGTTTGCTTGGGTTAGGATCTCATTCATGTCGGATGTCTCTGAAAACCAGTCTAACAATGTTAATTGATTTTACCCCAGCCACTCCGAGGAAACAGCGCCGGGAGAGAACGACCTTCACCAGAGCACAGCTCGATATTTTGGAAGCCCTCTTTGCCAAGACCCGCTACCCTGACATCTTCATGCGGGAAGAGGTGGCTCTGAAGATCAATTTACCCGAATCCAGGGTTCAGGTAAGACCTAGAATCAGCACCATGTTACTTTTAAAATCAATTAAGATTTTGGGCTGACAATTCTTCCAAGAATGCCCTGGAGTTTCTGGGAATGAAGGTTCATTTCAATCAACCCCCAGCCTTAAAAAATAAAATTGCAATTTAGTTTTTGAAGCCTTTTATACATTTGCTGCAAAAATGTCAGAGAGAGGTGTCAGGGTAAAGGCTGTTCAACTATGGAGGAGCCAATTACTGCAGATGCTGGAATTTGTACTGGAAACTGAAAATCACAGCGGGTCAGGCAGTATCTATGGAGAGAGAACAAGCTAACGTTTCGAGTCTAGATGACTCTTCATCAGAGTTCAACTGTGTGTGGCATTGGGAGGTAAAGGATTAAATCTCCAGGAATATGTTCAACTGCAGTTTGCAATCCTGTTTTCCTTAATTCCATCATGTCCTTTAGGGAAGTAAACTTCCATCCTTACCTGGTCTAGCCTACACGTGACTCCAGACCCACAGCAATGTGATTGACTCTGAACTGCCCTCTGGGCAATTAGGGGTGGGCAATAAATGCTGCCTAGTCAACGATGCTCTCATCCCGTGAATGAATAAAGGATCATGGGAAGTGGGCATCACTGGTAGGACCTGCATTTGTTGGCCATCCCATGAGAAGGTGGGGGTGAGCTGCCTTCTTGAACCACTGCAGCCCCTGTGTTGTAGGTTGACCCACAATGCCCTTAGCGAGGGAGTTCCAGGATTTTGACCCAGTGAAAGGGATGGAATGGCGATATAGTTCCAAGTCAGGATGGTGAGTGGCTCGGAGGGCAACTTGGAGGGGGTGGTGTTCCCATGTATCTGTTGCCCTTGTCCTTCTAGAGGGTAAAGTTTGGAAAGTGCTGTTGAAGGAGCCTTGGTGAACCATTACAAACACACTACCGTGAGAGAATACAAAGTTTGAACGTTGACAGAAAACGAGAAGTGCAGGAGAAACTCAGCAGGTCTGGCAGCATTTGTGGACCGAGAAACGGAGTTAGCATTTCAAGTCCAATATGACTCTTCTTCAGAATCCTTGCTGAGCCCAGAACAATGTGTCACTGGTTCAAAACATTAACCTGGTTTCTCCCTCTACAGACACTGCCTGATCTGCTGAGTTTCACCAGTAATTTCTGCGTTTGTTTCAGATTTTCAGCATCCACAGTTAGTTTAGTTTAATGAGCTGGCAACCCTGTCTATTTAAAAGCAATTGAGGCCTCCCTTAAACCTCGAAGCAAGGATGTAAGTCCACTTTAGCAGCAGAATAAAACAAGTAACACTGACCAACAGGTGAATCCTGTGCCTTAGGAAACAATCAATCACTAAATTTATGAGCAATGCCAGGGCAGAGTGTTGCAAAATGTCACGTCAGAATCTTGCACATTGTTCGCAACTTTTACATTTTCAGCGCCCATCTTTTTCTTTTAGAGAAAAGCTCAAACTGAATCGCTGCCTATCATTGTAAATTATTTCAATAAAGGATGAGGGTATTTCCCTCAGTAATGGGGCTGACAGTTAATCATCAACTAACTGGGGCTAAAGGCTGATTATATGGTGGGTCTTCCCTCTTCTATGTGTGGGAGCTTGCTGCACATAAATTGGCTGCCACATCCTCTAGATAACGCTTCAAATTATTTTGGAGGGAAGCGACTGATATTGTGCGAGGCAATCATAGCCGCTATCTTGTGTAAAGAAAGTCCCACAAAGAATAGAGATAGCAAGAACTGCCAATGCTGGAGTCAGTGAAGACTTTTCTGAAGAAGGTTCCCGACCCGAAATGTCAGCTCTCCTGCTCCTCTGATGCTGTCTGGCCTGCTGTGTTCCTCCAGCTCCACACTGTGTTATCCCACAAAGAACAGTGAAATTAATCACCTGCTCACTGCTGTTTTGGTGAAGTGAAGACAGGAGACACATGGAACAATCCTTTCTGTCCCTCAAATCGGGGTTTCTGTTTAACATCTCTTTCTGTTATAGCCCGATATTGAGGCCTGGGGCCATCGGGGCATTTCACAATGGATGGATACCTCCTAAGCCAAACTGATACATTGCACAGATGTGTTAACTTTAACATCCCGAACTGAGCTCCCTCAGTCTATGAGTCTTGCCATGTTTATTTCTGCTAAGCTGGTTCATTAACCCATGGGGGGTGGGGTGGGGGGGGGGGGAGATGTGTTGAAATCCACATTGTGAAGGATTCTCGTGTGAAAGCTTGCCCTGACAGGCCTCTCCCAGTCAGGAGCTTTACATCATTAGTGTTCAAGGGAATGAAATCTGTGTGAACTGCCGCTCGTAGATTGCCGCTGGGTTAGGAGGGGAAGATGTTTTAAAGGGTAAAACATGAATGATTCGCAGAGATAATGTCATTTCTTTAATAGATTTGACTATGGGGCATAGTGCCAGCCTCAGTGACTATCCTGAACTCTCAGAGATCTCTGTGCTCCTCCAATTATCCCCTCTTGTACAAACTTGATTTCTTTGAATTCGCCAAACTGCCTAAGCCCCAAGTTCTGGAATTCCTTCCCTAAATCTCTCTTATACATAGAGTCATACAGCACGGAAACAGACCCTTCAGTCTAACTCATCCATGCTGACCAGATATCCTAAATTAATCTAGTCCCATTTGCCAGCATTTGGCCCATATCCCTCTAAACCCTTCCCATTCATATAGCCATCCAGATGCCTTTTAAATGTTGTAATTGTACCAGCCTCCACCACTTCCTCTGGCAGCTCATTCCACACACGCACCACCCTCCGTGTGAAAGAGTTGCCCCTTAGGTCACTTTTAAATCTTTCCCCTCTCTCATTAAACCTGTGCTCCTCTAGTTTTGGACTCCCCTACCCCATGGAAAAGACCTTGACTGTTCACCCCATCCATGCCCCTCATAATTTTATAAACTTCTACAAAGTCACCCCTCAGCCTCCGACGCTCCAGGGAAAATAGCCCCAGCCTATTCAGTCTTTCCCTATAGCTTAAACCCTCCAACCCTGGCAACATCTTTGCTTCACAGCATCTTTCTGATAGCAGGGAGACCAGAATTGAATGCAGTATTCTAAAAGTGGCCTAACCAATGTCCTGTACAGCCGTAACATGATGTCCCAACTCCTATATTGAATGCTCTGACCAATAAAGGCAAATGTACCAAACACTTTCTTCACTACCCTTTCTACCTACGACTCCACTTTCAAGGAGCTATGAACCTGTACCCCAAGGTCTCTTTGTTTGGCAACACTCCACAGGACTTTACCATTAAGTGTGTAAGTCCTAGACAACAAGGTGCAGGGCTGGATGAACACAGCAGGCCAAGCAGCATCATAGGAGCAGAGAAGTTGATGTTTCGGGCCTAGACCCTTCATCAGAAATGGGGGAGGGGAAGGGGGTCCTGCCTTGATTTACCTTCCCAAAACGCAGCATCTCACATTTATCTAAATTAAACTCCATCTGCCACTCCTCAGCCATTGGCCCATCTGATCAAGGCCCTGTTGTACTCTGAGATAAACTTCATCGCTGTCCACTACACCTCCAATTTGGTGTCATCTGCAAACTTATTAACCGTACTTCCTGTGTTCATATCCAAATCATTTATATATATGATGAAAGGCAGTGGACCCAGCACTGATCCTTGTGGCACACCGCTGGTCACAGGCCTCCAGTCTGAAAAACAAGCCTCCACCACCAGCCTCTGTTTCCTACTTTCAAGTTGCTTCTATATTCAAATGGCTAGCTCTTCTGTGTGATCTAACCTTGCTAACCAGTCTACCATGAGCAACCTTGTCAAACGCCTTACCGAAGTCCATATAGATCATGTCCACCGCTCTGCCTTCATCAATTCTTTTCCTTACTTCTTCAGAAAACTCAATCAAGTTAGTGAGATACAATTTCCCAAGCAAAAGGCAGTTTGACTATCCCTAATCAGACTTGCCTTTCCAAATGCGTGTAAATCCTTACACTACATCTTGAAAATTGACTTTTGTGGCTAAGCATCTCTGTCCAAATGCCTGTGGATATGGCACATTGGGAGCTGATTGTATTCCCCTGGAGCACCGCAGGACGTTGAGCTAGATTGGGGTGCTACATAGATGCAACTACCCATTGGTGTTTCATTCGTCGCATTTCTGATTGGGACAGTTTTGATCAGGTCCTCAGTCAGCCAACGCCAAAGTGAACTTGCTGCTTTCCTGATGTTATTGGGTTCTAGGGCATAGGGACACAGTCTGAGCCAGTGAGGACTGGGATGAGGAGGAATGTTTTCACTCAGAGTGCTGAGGTGGGGGGGAGGTGGTGAATCTTTGGAATTCTCTTCACCAGAAGGCAGTCATTGAGTCTTCAAGACAGAGATTGTGAGGTTTCTAGATATTAAAGATATTGAGGGATAGTGCAGGGAAATGGAGTTGAGGTTGAGTTGAATGGTGGAGCAGCTCAGAGCTGAATGGCCTCCTCCAGCCAACTGTTGAAATTTGCAATAAACCAGGAGGCCACTCAGTCCATCATACCTGATTCTATCACATCAACCACCCTCTGCAATGCGAATATAGGAATTACAGCAGGTGGAGGCCATTCAGTTCATTGAGCCCAGTTTATCATTTGATAAGAGCACGACTGATCCGATTGTGGCCTCGGCTTCGCATTTCATCCCTCCCCCACACCCACAATGATCAATAACTCCCTCACCCCATCTCCCCTCAATTCCATATCTCTCTGTGCCTCATCACAGTTAATGAGGTTTCTCTCTAAGTGTTTAATCTCTCTGAATAGCCCCACCTGGGATGGAGACTGAAACCATTATATCTCCATTTCTGTGTGACGCAGCTCACTTGTGATGTGTTCTTAGCCTGAGTACAGCACAGATACAATGGGTCAACATCTATCAGACTGTTTGAGTGGAGTTTGCACATTCTCCCTATGTCTGCGTGGGTTTCCTCCAGGTGCTCCGGTTTCCTCCCACAGTCCAAGGATGTGAAGGTTAGGGTGGATTGGTCATGCTAAATTGCCCCATAGTGTCCAGGGATGTGCAGGTTAGATGGATTATCCATAGGAAATTCAGTGTTACAGAGATGGGGTGGGACTGGGTGCGATAGTCTTTAGAGAGTTGGTGTGGACTTGATAGGCCGAATGGCCTCTTTCTGCACTGTAGGGATTGTCTAGAAAAAGTCACCAAGGCTCCTCAGACAATCTCTTCCAAACCCATGACCACTTCCATCAAGAAAGACAAGGGCAGCAGTTACATTGGAACATCACCCGCTGTAAGTTCCCCTCTGAGCAACTCACCACCTGACTAGGGAATATATCATCATTCCTTCAGTGTCTCTGTGTCAAAATCCTGAAATTCCCTCCCTAAGGACATTGTAGATCTACCTACCGCACATGGATAGCAACGGTTGAAGAAGGAAGCTCACCACCACTTTCTCAAGGGCAACTGGGGATGGGGCAATAAATGGTGACCCAGCCAGAGATGCCAATGTCCAATGATTGAATTAAAAAAGAAACAGAAGTGGCCTTTCTCTGTGCTCTAAGTTTTCCAGGATATGGTGCCTCTAAAAAAGTCCCCTCTATTGGTCTGTTGGGAAAATGCCCCCAGCCACTCAGTTAAAATCTCAACCAATGCTTAACTTCTTTCGCAATGTATCCACAATGTGGAGTGATATAGTGATTGGAATGAAGTCGGCCAGGTAGATTTCATGAGTTCCCTGACTGGGGCTGTTAACCTGGAGCCAATCAAGGAGCCCTGGCTGACAGATATAAACAGGAGTCTCAGGGATTCTCCTCACTCTCGGGACTGGCTCTGAGCGAGCTGGTCAGAGCACATGTACTGTGCACGTGTAAATAAAGGGTGACTTGCTGATGGGATAACGGCCTCCGCGGTGTCATTTCATGGCGATATCAGGAATTCCTGCCCCTCTTGTGAGTTAAGGAAAGCTCATCTTCTTTATTTGGTTCCTCTGAACCACACTCCCCTCCAGCTCTCAGCCTCTGGCTTGTCACGTGAGTCAAAGTTTGCTTGTCCTTTCTTGGAGAGCCCAACAAAGGGAGACATCTTGGTCATCCTCCATTGATGCTTCAGGGAGTTGGGAGGATGTTCACATGGCCTCTTTAAATGATTGGATGTTCCACTTTTAACTCACCTTTGTGGCTTTACAATAGAAGTTTATTTTTGCAGAATCACAGAAGTGTAATGCCACAAAATGAGGCCATTCAGCCCATCGGGTTAGCACCAATTAAATGCCATCCCCTGGCGGCATTCTCCTGCTGTTTTCCTCCAGACCCTTGGACATTGTTCCAAATTAAATAACCATCTAATAATTGTCTGTGATTACCAGTTCTGAATTGGTATTGAATGCCTCAGTGGAATGGGGGTGCGGGTGGGGGAGGGTTGTGCGTGTGTAAGCGTGCGTGTGTGTGTGTACATGTGTGTGCATGTGTGCGTGTGCGCGCGTGCTTGCATCAAGCTCTCTATCTCCCTTGTGCTCTTCATCACCTCAGCACTTTGTAGCCAATGGGGTTTTTTTTCTCTGAAGTACAGAACAAGTTGTGTTGTGGAAACACCAGCCAATTTATGCCCAGCAAGCTCCCACAAACTGCAATGTGAAACTAGACCACCTCCTGCAATGGCTCAGGGTGAATTGTAACTTCCAATATATACAGATATTTTCCAGTTCAAAAATGTTGATGCGCATCTCTATAGCAAGTGGGACTTGAACCCAGGCCACACCTAGTTCAGAGGCAGGGATACTACCACAGCACCACCCAAGAACCATTGAGTGATGGAAATCTTGGTTGTGAAGCTAGCATGAGGATTGAACACATGACCATGGTGTTATTGAGACCACCCTCTGACCATCCTATCTAAACACCCACCCATTGTATGATGGATACTGTGTTGTGTGTGGGATCCAAGGCTGGCAGATGGATTAAAGAATCACTTTATGCTGTGATCCATATTGAATTATGAAGCATTTTTGAGGGGCTGAATGGCCTCCTCCTACATTGTTTTTTATTCACTCATGGGACATGGGTGTCGCTGGCCGGGCCCAACATTTCTTGCCCGTCCCTAGTTGCCCCCTTGAGAAGGTGGGGGTGAGCTGCCTTCTTGAACCGCTGCAGTCCATGTGCTTAGGTTGACCCACAATGCCATGGGTTGACCCACAATGCCCTTAGGGAGGGAATTCTGGGATTTTGACCCGGTGACAGTGAAGGAACGGTGATATATTTCCAAGTCAGGACGGTGAGGGGCTCGGAGGGGTGGTGTTCCCATGTATCTGCTGCCCCTTGTCCTTCTAGATGGAAGTCGTCATGGAAGGTGCTGACTGAGGTGAATATCTGCAGTGCATCTTGTAGATAGTACACACTGAGCGTCGGTGGTGGGAGGGAGTGGGATGTTTGTGGATGTGGTGCCAATCAAGCGGGGGCTGCTTTGTCCTGGATGGTGTCGAGCTTCCTGAGTGTTATTGGAGCTGCCCCCATCCAGGGGCAAGTGGGGAGTATTCCATTCCAGACGTGTGCCTTGTAGATGGTGGGACAGGCTTTGGGGGGGGTCAGGAGGTGAGCTACTCACTGCAGGATTCCTACGCACTGACCTGCTCCAGTAGCCTCCATGCGTTGACTGTATTAACTCCTGGCTCTTGTTGTCATTCACAAGGTTTGGTTTAAGAACCGTCGCGCAAAGTGCCGCCAACAGCAACAGCAGAACAGTGGCCAAGCTAAGACACGGCCGGCCAAAAAGAAGACCTCTCCGACACGGGACACCAGCTCAGAGACCAATGCCAGCGGCCATTACAGCCCGACACCGGCAGGCACAGCTGGCACCACCAGCTCCATCACCAACGCCAACGTGTCCATCTGGAGCCCAGCCTCCATCTCTCCGATCCCGGATCCGCTCTCCTCGTCCGCCGCCTCGTGCATGCAGCGGTCTGCCGCCTATCCCATGACCTACAGCCAAGCCCAGGGGTACAATCAGAGTTACGCTGGTTCCTCTCCCTACTTCAGCGGCCTGGACTGCGGACCGTACCTGTCCCCCATGCACCCGCAGCTGCCCGCCCCAGGGGCTGCGCTGAGCCCTCTGAGTACCCCGACCATGGGAGGTCACCTGAGCCAGTCTCCGGCCTCCCTGTCCGCCCAAGGCTACGGCTCGGCCAGCCTGGCTTTCAACACCGTCGAGTGCCTGGACTACAAGGACCAGAGCTCCTCCTGGAAGCTGAACTTTGGCGCCAGCGACTGCTTGGATTACAAGGACCAAACCTCCTGGAAGTTCCAGGTCTTGTAAGCCCGAGGTGGTCGAGATGCCACGAAAGCTTGGGGCTGACCCAAAGCCAGTTTCGAGATGAGAGGGGGGTGGTGGGCTAGTTGGGGGGAAGCCACCAGGCCTCAATAAATGCAAAAAAAACCAATCACTTTGTCAAGGTTGGGGGGTGGGTTACTGTGACTTGTTTTACCATCAATAACTCGGCTGGGAGGCAGAAGGAAGGATTTTTTACGTTAAAAGCCAAATGGAGGGAGGGACAAGTAAATTCAACCAAATGGAGCAACTTTGCAAAACCTTCAATAAGGAGAGAAACCTTCCCCTTCAGTGGGATTTCTCCCCCTCTCCCACTTTCAGATAAACTCTCTTAGTTGTGAATTCTGGGGAATTAACGAGCTGGGGACGGAAAGTGCAGTGTGAGTGCATTTTCTTTTTCTCTTGCATTTCTTTCCTGTTATTGTTGGGAAGATGTGCATGTAAACATCTAATCAGCCAATACAGGACATCCCTTAACCCTTCAATACCCACCCTCAGAAATATTACCGGCTGTTGTGTAAGGGAGAGGGTTCTGGGATTCTCTGTAATGAGATGATCCAACCTCAGAGACACTGGACACATCTGATCACATTTCCCCCAATCCCACCTCTCTCTCTCTCTCTCTGTCTTTGCGATTTCCTCTTTAAACTTTTTCCTTTTGGGAATTTAAATGAGGAAACGCCTGGGCAGATTCACAAACCCGGTTCACGTGGATTAGCTGTTTGTTTTTTTTCAGGGAATTGACAGAATGGAATGACTGTATTCCGCCTGTCTCTGTAGGACACAGCCAGAGGGTCCTCACTGTCTCCAGTTTGTGGAAGGACGACTGTGAATCTGTATTGTACCTGGAACCACCTTCAGTCACCGTATCTGAAAACATTAGCTCTAATTAACCAGTGGACGGGTTATAATGGGGTGACACACCATGGAGAAGGAGGGTTTGTTCTCTGATTGCAAATCTACCTCTTTGTCCATGGCTCAGAGTGCATGTGTGTGTATGAGTGCGCGTGTCTGAGTGTGTGTCTGTCTGAGTGTGTGTCTGTCTGTCTGAGTGTATGTTTATGTGTGTGTGTCTGAGTGTGTGTGTGTGTCTACGTGTGTGTGTTTATGTGTGTGTGTCTGAGTGTGTGTGTATGCATGTGTGTGTGTGTCTAAGTGTGCACGTGTATGTATGTGCATGTCTAAGTGTGTGCATGTATGCACGTGTGTGTGTGTGTGTGTCTGAGTGTGTGTGTGCATGTGTGAGTGTGTCTAAGTGTATGTGTCTGAGTGTGTGTCTAAGTGTGTGTGTCTAATTGTATGTGTCTGAGTGTGTGTCTAAGTGTGTGTGTCTAAGTGTATGTGTCTGAGTGTGTGCGTATGCATGTGTGTGTGAGTGTCTAATTGTGTGCGTGTGTGTGTGTGTGTGGTACTGGATTACACTTCACTGTCAATTGCTTGGCCATTTCTGAGCTGGGACTTTCTAACCACCCAGTTTGTGTGACAGACGTTACCTCAATATCGACAGAATAAACCAAACAGCACTCAGGCAGAACAAAGCGGCCTTCAGTCTGGCTGGAAAGCTACGTTGAATGATCTGATCGAAATCAGGAAGCACTGAGATGAAAAACACACCCCATCACTTCTAAATTAATTCTGGAAATGTGAGGGTTGTGGGGAAGGCCAGGATTTATTGCCCCTTGAGAAGGTGGGGGTGAGCTGCCTTCTTGAACCACTGCAGTCCATGTGCTGGGGATTGACCCACGATGCCCTTAGGGAGGGAATTCCAGGATTTTGACCCAGTGACAGTGAAGGAACGGCGATATATTTCCAACTCAGGATGGTGAATGGCTTGGAAGGAAACTTGAAGGTGGTGGTGTTCCCATGTATCTGCTGCCCTTGTCCTTCTAGATGGAAGTGGTTGTGGGTTTGGAAGGTGCTGTCTGAGGATCTTTGGTGAATCACTGCAGTGCATCTTGTAGACAGTAGACATTGCTGCTACTGAGCGTCGGTAGCGGAGGGAGTGGATGTTTATGGATGTGGTGCCCTTACCCTTCTAGATGTTGGGGATCACTGGTTTACAAGATGCTGCCAAGGAACCTACTGCAGCATCTTGCCATCTTTGAAAAGCCAAGACCCAGTTTCTTCACCACTTAGTAACAGTTTGGAGTGCCATCCATCACCAACTGCATTGCGCATTGATCATGGAGCTGCCCTGGTTCTGTTCACCAGATTCACTGCACTGGCCATCAGGGCTATAGCTCAGGATGGTGGTGTGAGGAGGTGGGGTTGGACGGAGTTAGTATTGAGAGCTCCCACCTCTGGCTGGAACCCAGTTCCTTCAGCCGAAAGGACAGACCCTAAGATAGACCCTTGCCTTGGCTTTGCACAGCACCCAGCTCACCGCAATGGGCCTTTGTTAACTACTGGGCCATATGACCTCAATTGTAACGGCTTACAGCCAATGGAAGTCCCTCAAGACGTGTATCAAGCCCAGAAGCAGTGTATATATTTTTCAGTGATTCTGGAATTGTCTTTCGGATGCTTTAAGAGGCTGATTGACATTGAAAGTCGGCACTGAGAGCTTTGCTGTCGAGGGGCGCTCAATGATTAAGCAACCACATGTTCCACCAGTGGGTGAGGATATCTCCCGAGGAGCACCATCTTCAGCAGGAATCCCTTGCCTGCAGTGTGCCACTGATTGTAGATGCTATCCTTGACCTCTAGGCTGCAGGAGGGAGAAATGGTTCAGGTGCCCACTCCCCTGCCAGGGCGAGCAAGTGGAGGGTAAGCATAAGATTCAGACCTGAGCTTGTGTGAAGTCTACTTTAGGGCAGTTGGCACCTGTTGCCCTGCAGCTTGAGTTGTGGGTGAGGATGGACGTACAGTACAAGTTACTATTGTGTATGAGAATGAAAAATAGGAGCAACTCTCCAAAACCATTCTCTTGGAATATTGTCCATGCTGGCCGCTTGGCCACCAGTGCCTGGAATCTTTCTTTGTTAGATTTGTCGATCTCCGTCTTACATCCATGTCCTCTTGACCGAAACTGGAGATTTATCCTTCCCGGGATCACCCACGTGCCAAGGGAAGCCAACCCTGTACATCTTGCCATGGAGGTCCAGACTTGGAGAATGGCAGCAGTCAGTGAGTGACCATCAATGGACCATGAAACACTATCCCTGAGGAAGAAACATTACCCTCTCTCCTGACACTGGGTGAAGTTAGAACTCACAGTGTAGTCCAAGGGGAGTTGTTGCCTTTGGAGAGACTGGGGAAGATCTGGGCTAAAAGACTCTAGTGACAATCCGTTGGAAATTGTCTCTGATTGCACTTCGTTTCAGCGTGGGTTTGCTACGGGAGATTTCTCACTGATCTGTCACACAGCCAGAAATGGCCAAATATTTGCACGGGGACAGATTCCTTTCCACCTTCTGCCTCCTCCAAGCGGTTTTAATTTCTCTGGGCTCCCCACTGCTTGATACCTTTGTGTCCAATCACTTATCGCTATTTGTGGGGATCGAATTCACAGCGAGTGTTATCAAACAGGTTAGTGACCACCATGCGGTGGGCACTGAGCCACAGAAGTTGGCATCAAGTCGCATCTTGAGTTCTGCCCCACTTTTGGCTGGTGGATCCCAGGATGAAAATGCCATGCTGCAGACGCCTCCCTGGCAACACAATGGACAAACAAGTGATGTTAGACCACTCACCCTGGGCAATACCCTCTGCATGTTAATAAGTCCTACAGACCAACCCTTCCACGCTACCTCTGCAAGCCAGTCTCACCACCAGTAAAGAGCTTACCTATACAATTGTAATAAGAAGTAAGATATTAATAAATAGAACAGCAATAATTTAAAATAAATTAATAGACAATCTCATCTTGTTTTAAAAAAAAGCTTGTATGTTGGGGATTAATATAAATCATCTTTGTTGGTTTTTAATGATTTGTATTTAGTTTTACGATAAAACAGAAAAAGTCCCTGTTTTTTAGAAGTAAGGTTTAGTGAACATGTCAAAGCAGAACAAAATAAGCATTGCACAGATATTTTTCAATAATGTATTTATTTGTTTAGTCTTGGCAACACAATTCTCAGAATCGATGTGATGACTTCCTTAACTACTTATCATTAAAGTAAGATTGGAGAAATTTTATTGGAAAATAAAGGTTAATTACTGAGTGCTATGTGGAGAGTCTGTTTTATTGAGGTGAGGGATGTCAATTGTTGGAAGCTCTGTGTATAGTCTCCTCCTCTGGTCTCCCACAGTTACACATCGACTCCTTCTCTGAAAAAATCCCCAGCCGTGACTAAATGGGAACATTTCTGTCTCTTAGTGAAACGTTTAGGGGTCTGGGTCCCGCTGTGTGGAATTCAGAACCGGTGCCTCCCAACAGAGTGGTGCACTGTTGACAGATATCTGCACCATCGCTGAGCTCACCTTTCCATGCCTCAGCTCATCGGCTGCAGAAGACCTCATCTGTGCTGCGGTTCCCTGGACACTCATCCTATTAACCATGGCCTGTTGCCTCTGCAAATCCCCTACTGTCTGAATCTGTGCCACCCTCTGTTCTAACAATGCATCAAGTGCTGTTACTCTATTAACCTGCCCCCTCCCAGTTTCACTGGCTCCTCGACAAGCAACTGCTCAGCTTTAACATTTTCATCTCTCCATGCCCCAACCCTCTGCAATCTCCTCCAAACCTGCGAACCTTTCAAGACCTCAAAACCCCTCCAACTACAGTCTCTCAAGCATCTGCCATTGGTAGCTGTGCCTTCAGCTCTGTAATTTCCTCCGTCTTTCTTCTCCTCCCACTTTCAGCAATCTCTCAGTCACCTATCCCACCACCTCCTTACTTGACCCAGTCAGATTTTTGATGGGTGGCACAGTTGCCGTTATCAGAGGGGCTATCATTCGGATTCCACCTTAAAGTAAGACCCTTCCTTGCCCTCTCTGGAGGATATCAGATGCCCCTAGGACATTGGAGAAGATCAGGAGGGGAGTTC